ATGATAATCAAATAAAATGCAGTCGCATTTAGACGGGAAGTAAATCTAAATGCTTTTATACTAAACACATGAAACATTTATTGGTCAGCTGTTTGTGCCGAAAAACGGGAATTCTGGAGCCACAACATGCGTTGGCTTAAGGCTGGTGTTCATCATTCACCGGAGGAAGATTTTATTATGCGATGATTCCCTTTGTCTGCACCGCGATGTGGCGAGATTAAGCCTCGCATCGGGAGAAGATGAGAAGGACAGATGCAAGTGCTGCCCGACACGCGCGATTCCCGTGAAACATGCAGGGCCGAGCTGCTGGCAAGATGCCCTCTCCCGTCTCCTCGCCACTCAACACCACCAGAGCGAGTGGGTGGGATGGCGAGCGAACACTTTCTAATCAACTCCCGAGGAGCAACGCTCACTGCCGTGATTAGCAGTGTTGAGAATCCGAGGCGGCGGTGGCGGCGATCGAAACCAGAGAAGGCCTTGGGACAGGGGTCGCCACTCGCGGCACGTAAATGGGAGTGCCTCGCTTGACAAGCGGACTGACGCACTCCCTTAACGAGGGATTCCACGGGCCCCGCAGCTCCGGTCGGGGGGTGGGGGGCACATCCCGTGTTTGCATGGCTGGCGATCAGGGCAGCTATTTCTATGGGCACGCGGACGCGCATGTGACCCGCGTGACCCGTCTCTCCAATGGGCGCGTGGCCCAGTGCGCATCTCGAGAAATGGGAAACGTGTGGACAAAGGAGCATCGCTGTGTTTGTGCGCCGTGCCTGTCTTGGCTAGAGTGGTGGGGGTGTTGCGTGGAGGCACGCGTCTCTGATCGCTTGTTTACCTTATGGTTAATGGCACGTCCTGGAGCTCGGGTTTGCTCGTGGTGATCTGCGCGAAAGCACTCTTACTTTTTTTTGCGTTTTACTTACATTGGGTTTGGTGGAGGACTCCAGCAATAACATCCTCCTGGCAGCAGAGGGGAAAACAAAAAACCTCTGCCTTATTAATACACTGTTACAAAAACACTCCACCACGGATTGTTCGTTTCAGGAAAAAACAGAGAGTGAGTGGACTGCACGGGATTGGGGTGCGTGGAGAGAAGGGATTGGCAGCGAGAGGGGCGCACGGCCACCAAGTGCTGGCGCTGGGGGAATGAATGGGATTCACCAGACCTGAATTACTAGAAACAATTACTTCGCTTCATTTCGATTTTCAATTTCTAATTTCATGCAGGTATTCCTCCGATTACCATTTGTTGCATTTTATTTTATTTGCTTGGCTTTTCTTATTTTGGTGACCACCCAGGTCGCTCTTGCAAATTAGACTCCTATCCTGGTCTCTCGAGTTCTTATCTGGTCACACAAACTTGACTTTACTTATTCGAATCAAAACATGGTCATATAAACTGATTAACTTATTACTTATAAAACAAATGTAACTGTCTGTGATTGCATGGAATATGTCACTTGTAGCTTGCTTAGAATTCATATCTAGCCATGTGAATGAATGAGTGGGTGGGTTAGTGAGTTAGTTAGGGAGTGAGTATGTAATTGAATGAGCAAATGTGTGCATTCACAATTGAGCGGGTGAGTGGATTTGCGAGCAGGTAAGTGAGTGGGTGGGTGGATTAGTGAGTCAGTTGGTGACTGAGTGATTGGGTGGGTGGGCGTGCATATGAATGTGTGGATAGGTAGCTTAGTAGGTAAGTTGGTGACTGAGTATGTGGGTTTATTCATAAGCGAGTTGGTGACTGAGTAAATTAATGGGTGGGTGGGCAGGTGAGCGAGTGGGTGAGTGCACACAGCGACTGGGGTTCCCTGTGTGAGATGCGTGCGTGTCTTGAGTGAACGCTGCTCTTGTGCTGTGCAAAGGCAGCGGTGTTTGTTTAAGAGCTGCCTGTAAGGGTGGAAATGCCTTAGTAAAACAACTTCCTTATAGCTGTAAAAATTTTATGTTCACATTTCCTTTCATTTAATCCCAGCTGCGAGTGTGCTGGGATGCTGGCGTTTCGCCCGCTGGGCATCGGGATTCGTTAGGTTGCCCCAGCTGACCCCCCGGTGGGTAGGGGGCACACGGGAGCTGGGAACGGGGTCAAAGGTCAAGCTGGTTGGCTCCGATGACAGCCCACCACTGCATGAGGGCCTCCCCCATGCTGTGTGGGTTGTGGGGGTTATATGGCCATACTTCATCACGGGTTGGTGAAGGCAAAGAGTGTAGATGATGGAACATAATACAGTACAGCAATGGAATTTTCGGAAATGGCCTCTGTTGACAACATAGCCCCGCAGCAGTCCATAACGCCCGTGGTGCATGGCGGTCACTCATCCAGCGCTATCTCGGCTCAGCCTGCTTCGGATGCTTCTGGGTCATTTGGTCACATGAATCGAGTGTGAATTGAATAGCTCGAGTGTATGGATGGGAATAGAGTGAGATGAGAGGGGAGAGGTAGCAGAGTGCGTGGGTGAGAGTAGAGTGAGATGAGAGGGGAGAAGTTGGAGAGTGTGTGGAGTGGAGTTGAGTGAGATGAAAGTGGAGAGTTAGGCAGGGGTGAGGCTATGGAGGACCTTGAAGGTGGCGAGTGGGATCTTGAAAATTACCCTAATTGTGGAGGGATGGGAGTGTTGGGGGGACCTGGTCTCCTGCCATCGTCCCACCCACGCTGCCGTGCAGGGGAGGGGCGTCGAGCATGTGATCACGACGACCTGCATTCAATTCCCCTCGTTCCAATAGCGGTCGTTAAATTATCGCACCAAGCGATAACAATCTCCAAGTGTGCACTGTGTCCTGCACACTCGATCCCTTTGGAATCTAATTTCAGATTACCGTAGCAACATACAGCGCGTTACTGCATGCTAAGCACACGCAATCACGGTGAGTGTAATCTGTATGACCTGCTAGGAATACTGCGCAGGCTGCTGCTGCATGGGCTACGCTATGGGGCCCAGAGGGCAGTTCACCAAAATCTAGTGTTATACTCTACTTCTATGCTTCCCCATCTATGCTCTCCGCCTGTACCGGGGAGAGGGGTGAGTGGTTTGAGTACGTTTTGAGAGGGGAAAGAGGGGTGTGAATAGAGAGAGAGAGCGGCCAGCGGGGATGGTAGGGAGAGAGTGGTGAGCGGGGAGTGAGCTCGGAGAGAGGGTGAGCAGAGGGGTGAGCGAGGGCACGAAGAAACCCTCATTAGCAGGGGCGCTGGGACCTGGCAGACGACACTGGGGCCCTGCCAACGTCACTCCTCATTCACTGCCCTCGGGCCTCTAGAGGTCATTATAATTCTTGCTGCGCAACGCTATTAATGAATCATAGTTTAACGTTTGTGGTAAAAAAACGAGAGTTCTCTGTCCCTGAATACAAGTCAAGACGTCAGCCAAGAAACCATCCACCGAGCGGTGGTGTTGTGTCCCCTGTGTGTATGCAGTGTTGGGTAAAAGGGGAGTCTGTTTTGCTGATGGGGAAAAAATAGATTGTATTTATTAATTGTCCGAGAAAAGTGATGCCTACGTTTTGTGAATCATTCTTGGGTCAAACGGCTGCAGGCTGGGATTCTACTGCTTGAAGAGAAGTTTCCCACTTGCTTAAGTGAGACGGCAACATTGACCGTTGCAAAAGGTTATGGTTGTTTTATATTTAGGGAAATAGCTTTCCTACTGATTTACAATAAAAACTGGATTTTACACATATGACTTAAGGGAACATTTTGAATGTGAGGCAATGTTCCGAGTTGGTTTAGAATCCCAGGCGGTTGGAGCGCTGAGCCGTCACCACTTGTACCTGGGTTTCAGTCTGGGTATTAGCCGCCCATGATTCGACTAGATGCTCAAGTGTGGCGAGTTGATGACCTCAGCCCAGAGACCAATAATTTCACAAAAACACGAAGTTAAATTTGATTTTCACTCTAATTTGCGAGCATTTCTGCTCTGAAAATGTTAATAGTTTAGATTAAATGCCGTATCCTCTGTGCAGGGCGTGTGTGGATAAAAGAGGCCACTTGAATGCTTCTCAGAAGTAGTTCTGTGATATCTCCTTCCTCGGACTATTCTCTAGCACAGCATGATACATTGCGCTGCGAGTGTTCCAAAGTGATACTGCAGCTTGTGGCATGACGCCGTTAACACAGTGGGGATTGACTTGGGAAATAGATGTTTTTACTGTAATTGTGGACATCAGATCTGCTTTCTTGCTGAAGGTGGTTTCTTGAGGTCATCTCTGGGCAAGGAGGTGCTCCACGATCGTCTTTCCGTCTGTCAGATACAAACTCTCGCGTAGGCAATGGGCACGTGGGCCGATCGCCCTGACTTGGAGTCTCCAGGCTCCGGTAAAGCCACTTGTTTAAATCTGGCAAACGTGCGGCTGGAGTTTCTCGATTTTGGGAATGTGCCCTCGGTGGCTACGCGCCGCGCTCTGAGCTGCCACTTTGCCAGCGCAGCTTGTTTGAAGTCGAGCACGGAGAGCTACACTTTCGCTCCAGTTCTCGGATGCCGTGTGTCATGATGTCATGCGGAACGTAAAGGTTCATTTTTTCTTAAACTGCAGCAAAGCCAACAGCTGGTGCTGATGTAAGTGATGTTTTCCACGGAGCGGGTTGCGGAGCAAAACACGAGCATTCTCCCCGCGCGGGAAGGAACTCGCGCCGCGCCGCACTAAGATGCCGCGGAACCCTGCGCCGCCGCAGAGATTGCCCAGGAAATCTTAATCACATGACAGCACTTACAGCCTGAGACGCTGGTGGAGGAGGGGCCACCGTGCCTGCGAGCGAGGGCAAAGTCTGAGGCACACTCAACTGAGCGGAATTGCTGATGAGACTTCACACAAAATCCCCACGCTGGAACACGGCGTGGCTATCAGAGCCGTGCCAGGTGCTGTGTAATACGCGCACACACACAGGTTCCGCACAATGAGACATTGTGCGCTTAAGAAATTTACCCTATTTAGCAGTCTTGGCACACGTGTGCCTGCGGGGTTTATATTTACTGCGCGTGTATATATATTTTTTCGGCCGTCTCGTCTGGCAGGTCGGCGTGGTGAAGGCGGCGGCGGTGCTGGGACACGGCGTTGCGCCCTCACAACTGAGCCGGGGTGGCCTTCATCATCGACGTCGCTGAGAGAGAGAGGATCTCCCGACCTGGACACAGCAGCCATGGAGGCCAGCAACCGCTCTCCAGAGCCGGCGCTCAAGTACGAGCAGACTCTGGTACGTGCCGAGCCCACCGCGAACGTACTCACCGCTGGTGCGGGGGGCCAGCGGTCGTCCTCCCCGCCGCTACGTTGGCTTGCGAGCGTGCTCGGTGACTGCACGGGCTGATGCTGACACTCATGTAAGGATCCTGGCAGCTTTAGCTTGGGAGCAGTGTTAACTTTGCTTTGTGAGGTCCCACTGCTGCTGTGTCTGGTGAAGATGTTGTTAATGCTGCTGCTGCCGCCACCTCTTGAGCAGCTGTAGGGAAATCCTACGTGCTGGAGACGGTTGGTCCAGTATGGGAGCGACGCGACACGTCGAGTGCGCATGCCGAGGCAGGTGGGAGATGTTGCCTGTTCCTGTGCCACGATCCGCCTTCAACATGGTGCCCATTGGGTTACAGTTATTTCTGAACACATGACCGCGCTGGTGGCTGCATGTGTTGATGTGTTGCATAATCACTGCTTTTTTTATTATGCTGCAAACTTCTTCTTCGTCATTATGGCGTTGCTGTCATTCCTGTGGGGTTCAGCCTTACTGTTCTTCTTTCTCTACACACTTCTGTCCCGTGCCATCATCTCCACATCCACTCCACACTCCGTCACATGCTGGTCTCAGCACCTCAAACCACCTATCCCAAGGCCTGCCTCTCGGTCTCACCCTGGTGCTGCTAATGGACAAATAGTTCTTGCTGTACCATCATTCATATCTTCATCATTATTGTCACAATTGTATGTTTTGATTTTGTTTTCATTCATTGTTTTGTTTTGTAAATACAAGCACCCGGCATTCTTAGAATGTTTTTGGCTTCTGGATTCAGTGAAAATTCCAAAGTCCCCGGAGACCTCAACTAGGGCACCCTAATGATCACGATTCCCCCCGCACCGCCCACAGTAGAAGCATTCAGATTATAACAAGAAGCAGCACGGCAGCGTGAACCCGTGTGAACCCTGCGCAGCGCTCGCATTGTGGGATTGCGAGGGATCAAAGGGGCTTGTGACTGCGCACCCGGGGTCGTGGGGGAGACAACGGGAGACACGACGCTGTCCAGAGACGCCCCGTGCACCGCTTGGGAACGCGAGCCTTTGTGTCAATACCTTGAGTCGGCTTGTAAACGCGACGGCTTAAACTGCTGCGTGTGTTCGGGCTGCATGGCATCGTGGGAAGGGACCACAGTTCCATGTGGTCTGCGCAGACCTCACAAGCACGCACGCATCTGTGCAAAGCAGCATAACATGACCATGTGGTATAGATGCCCACGACGGGGAGAAGGCAACGAGGGACCATAAAAGCGCACGGATGGAGCAAACCGGGCAGAAGTAACTCTGTAGACATTACCCAACCACAGATGCGACACAAGACTGTGTCTTTATAGAGTTATTCATTTTTGTAGTGAGTCCAACTGAGTCGCAAACGTTGTCTTTGGAGCAACACTATTTATTTCACCAACTCAACACACAACATAACTGGGGCTGGCTCCGCCCCTCGCCCCGCCCACCTTCCAGATCTCTCGAGCTCTTTCCCAAAGGCTCCCGAGAGCTCCTTTATACCACGTGACCGCCCAGCGGCTCCCGTCCACCGGTGGCCCCCCTCCAATATCATCCAGTCACGTGTCGGCAGGTCAACCGGCGTATCATGCCCCAAGGTAACCCTGGCTGGCTGACGTTCCCTCTCGCTTCCTCGCCGGGAGCCCGCACCGCACGCTGCACGCGGTGCCTCCGCGCTGACCAGCGCTCACCAAAGCCCAGCTAGGGCTGGTACTACGCCCAGTAGCCGGGCTGCACACAATGACAGCACATTATCCGCCGTGGCTTCGTAAGCCCGGCACCACACAGTGACGTTCAAAGTCGCTACATATATATAGACCCACTCATAGAGTCAGTGTCTGTGAAGTATGCAAATTGCTGTGCAGCCAGCATTGGTCACATTAGTCACATGCAAACACATTCACTTTCCCTGCTATGGTTTTTGAACTCGGTCAGCTGTCATCAGTGTTTGTAGCAATGGCCATCATGGGTGTTTTGCATGGGTGGGCTTTCTCTTGCCCTGAAGCATTCTCTTTCCCTGGAGATAATCTTTGCCTAGTTTTCTTAATGCCATGAAAAATGTTGAACAAACCTCGCTTAGTGACATCATTGGGTGGATTCAACTTCTGACAAAATCGCCAAAGCAAAGTCGTTTTGGCGATTTTGTCCCATGGCTGGTGATGCATGCACTCCAAGCATCGGGGATATTTACACACGACAAGATGAGACTGTGGCCCCACACAGTTTCAAGTGGAATTGAGGTTGTGCCACGTAGATAAATGGGACCCGCTATTCACAACGACTTGTCGTAGTGACGATCTGTCACACAATTACACTCCCAGTTTCCTAAGCAAGCTCATTTCAGCGTGGTTGGCATTGACTCCTGGTGCAAGGAATGAAACGGGGGCCATGCCTGACTGATTTTCTTCGCTCTTCATTTCCTGGTGAATGGGTCATTCCGACTTGTGGCCTCCAGTGCAGTTGCACCACGTGCCACCTGCACACTGGCTGCGCCACTTGTCGCATGGAAACCGAGCGAGCTGGCTTCCCGTTTTGCCAAGGGAGCGACTCCTGCATCTCGCTCAAACGTCCACATGTGACAATGTCGCCCGGCACTGCGTAGGCAGAGTGGGAGGCCAGAGGCTTGAGCGTTCATAACTCATGCCCACGCAAAATAATGTTTTCACGCATAAAGAGAGAGAGAGCTTGGTGGAATATGCCGGCCAAGTAGACAACAGCATGTTTATGAGCGAAGACATCTCCCACATCTGGTTTGTGTTTCCCGTTGTTGGAAGCATTTCCCGTAGGAAATTAGTGCATGGCGAAGCGGCGGCAGTGGCGGTGCGCGGATTTGTCTCGCGCGCAGACATCGCTCATGGCGCCACGCGGGTCCCAGCAAGAAGGTTAACGCTGCACCGGGCAGTCTAGAGCTCCTCCATGTGGAGGACCTTCCACCATTGGTGCCACAAGCCAGCGATTATAACACTGCACCTTTAGTTGCTTTACTTCTTCACCGATTCCACGCGGCTGGAGCTCGAGATCGCTTGGCTGAGCGACGTGGGAAATTTTACTCTCATGAGTGAACGATGGGCGGAGTGGTGGTGCCACGGTTAGCGCAATGCACTATGCAGCCGTCAGTCCGAGTTTGATTCCCGGCCAGGGACAACATCCGTGGCTACTGATGAATGAACTACTCCTGTGTCCCCCCCACTTCTCCGACCCATACTGAGCAGTGCGGCGAAGTATGGTCAACCATCATGAAGGGGAGGCCTTCATCCAGCAGTGGATTGAAAAAGCGCCATCTTCTATTAGCTTGACCTTTGCTAATAACACGCAACAACTTAATTCTATATCTCAGAACAAAGTACAATCTTGACATTGACCCTATTGAAGGGGTCAATGTGGTAATTATGAGTAAATGATGACTAAATGTGTTTTTTTGTCCACTATAAAGAGCAATTCATGGCAAACAGAGATTAACAGCACTTGTTCTTGGAGGCCTTGACTTTTGCAGTTTGACCCCAATCTGTGCTTAGATAACCTTATTGTGCACATGACTGTCGCACAGCGTCTTGATAAGCGATTGCGTTTGGCTGCTTGTAAATCCTGATTGCCCTCACATTTCATTGTATGCTCACCAAAGACACGATACCCGGTCAAACGTGCACTCAACTGCCTTGATATGTGTGTGCGTGCTGTGTGACTACGTACGCGAATATGGCCACCAATTCCCTTGTGTGCTATGCCATGCTTCATGGGTGCTTATTAACAGCATTTGCCCCAACGGACTGTTCAACGTTGCACGGGGTATTTTTGTATGTGGGTGTGTGAATGTGTGGGTGAGTATGTGGGTGTGTGAATGTGCTGGTGAGTATGTGGGTGTGTGAATGTGTGGGTGAGTGTGTGAGTGCGCCAGTGGTTTATGAACTGCTCGACGATTTTAGCCACCTGGGTTCATTTCCCTGTCATAACCATCATTGGAAACTGGTATCTTAACTGTGGTGGGTTTTCTCTAGGACAAGTCGGCTCAGGTAAAGGTGGTTGGGTGTGGTGCTGGCCACTTTGCCCACTTGTTTGCCATGCCGGAATCTTGTTTGCCATGCCAATCTCAACAGGAGCTTGCTAGTCGCACTTACTCTATAGCCTCTATCGCTGTATGGGGCCTGTGAGTATTTGTACGTGTGCCAGTTATTTGATTGGCAGTGTCGCGTGTGTTGGGATAAAGTGTGGGTACTCCCACTTCTCCAAAGAAGTCCAGTCAATGAAGGAGTGTAGGCCAAATACCCTATAAAGGCCTCTCTAGAGATTATTTCCAGTGGAGTCTCTTCCCCCAGCAGTGGCGTGAACAAACTATGTCAGGGCTGCCCATTTACCTTTAACTCCTGTTCAGGCAGCACAGACCTTTGGCCAGCATTCTACAAGGGTCGTGTGAGAGGGGTGGCTGGGCTCGGACCTTCAGCGTGAGAGGGGCACTCTGTCACGTGCGCAAGTAGGTGTTACCTACTCGTGCACAGGCGTCAGGATTGGGATTGAATCCACCAGGGGAGGGAGATGGATAACATCTCTTACCACTACATCTCCTACAGTCCTGCTCAATAATAATCCACCCAGCACCTGCACACGAGCTGATTTCATCGCTCATCTCCAGAGTGGATATCCTCTCAGCGTGTTTTTTCTCTTAGCTGCCAATCGATTGATCTTGTTGGAAATGTGATCATGGGAAACAATATCACATCAGTTTTACCATTATTACTTCCATATAATTCCTGCATGGGGGAAGGGCTACCCCTCCCCACCGACAGCCGTGCGTGCAGACACGGCGGGAGGGGGGCGTCCCGAGCCGTGGCTGCGGAGCAGCGCCACGCCGGGAGCTGCACCGCACGCTGTCCCGCCAACCCCGACTCCTGCGGCGGGGCGGATTCCCGGCGGTTGCTCTGCCCGTGGCGGCAGCAGGGGGGGAGGCTGGAGCGGGGGGGGAAGTGGGGGGGG